CTACAAGCTGTCAGGAACAGTATCCCTGATGAGGCCAAAGCATGCCTGGTGGCTGAGCTTTGTGACTTTGGCCTCACCCACCCCCATTTCAGATTTGGGGACAACTTATACCTTCAAGTCAGTGGCATTGCTATGGGTACCCGCATGGCCCCACAGTCTGCCAACATTTTTATGGCTGACTTAGAACAACGCTTCCTCAGCTCTTATCCCCTAGTGCCCCTCCTCTACTTGCTCTAAATTGATGACATCATCATATGGACCCACAGAAAGGAAGCCCTTGAAGAATTCCACCTGGATTTCAACAATTTCCACCCCACCATCAACCTTCAGCTTGGACCAGTCCACACAAGAGAGACACTTCCTGGACACTACAGTACAAATAAGTGATGGTCACATAAACACCACCCTATACCAGAAACCTATTGACCACTATACTTACCTACATGCCTCCAGCTTCCATCCAGGACACATCACACTATCCATTGTCTATAGCCAAGCCCTAAGATACAACCGAATTTGCTCCAACCCCTCAGAAAGAGACAAACACCTACAAGATCTTTATCAAGCATTCGTAAAACTACAATACCCACCTGGGGAAGTGAGGAAACAGATTGACAGAGCAAGACGGGTACCCAGAAATCACCTACTACAGGACAGGCCCAACAAGGACAATAACAGAACACCACTGGCCATCACATACAGCCCCCAGCTAAAACCTCTTCCACGCATTATCAACGATCTACAACCTATCCTGGAAAATGATCCATCACTCTGGCCTTGGCTACACTAGCGCTGTACAGCGTTGCAACTTGCTTCGCTCAGGGGTGTGAAAAAACACCCCCCTGAGCGCAGCGAGTGCAGCGCTGTAAAGTGCCAGTGTAATCAGCGCCTGCAGCGCTGCAAGCTACTCCCCTCAGAGCTGTGAATCCTCAAGTGTAGCCAAGGCCTCTAACCGATCTTGGGAAGCAGGCCAGTCCTTGCTTACAGACAGGTTTTTTGCGGGGGAGGGATAGCTCAGTGGTTTGAGCATTGGCCTGCTAAAGGCAGGGTTGTGATTTCAATCCTTGAGAGGGCCACTTAGGGATCTGGGGCAAAAATCAGTACTTGGTCCTGCTAGTGAAGGCAGGGGGCTGGACTCGATGACCTTTCAGGGTCCCTTCCAGTTCTAGGAGATCGGATATCTCCATATATTATTATTATTATTATTATTATTTATTTTTATTATTATATACCTGACTATCACTACTGATATGTTGTGTGGTTGGTGAAGTATTCTACACCAGAGAAGTGTAAAATTACTCCAAGGAAGGTCAAAGATTTGACAAGAACTCAGGTAGAAATTGCAGGTACTGGTGGTTGATTTTCATCCCAGAGATGGAAGCTATGGTGACCTGTGGCCCAGGTAAAGTATTTTTAGAACACTGCTCCCTAGTTAAGTGGCATTGATCACACTCCTAAAGAATGCCATGATTAAATTGGGAACAACTGTCTTTACCATTTGGATCCAAAATTTCATGAAGCACAGAGAGAATCATAGAAGATTAGGGTTGGAAGAGACCTCAGGAGGTCATCTAGTCCAACCCCCTGCTCAAAGCAGGACCAACACCAACTAAATCATCCCAACCAGGGCTTTGTCAAGCTGGGCCTTAAAACCTCTGAGGATGGAGATTCCACCACCTTCCTAGGGAACCCATTCCAGTGCGTCATCACCCTCCTAGTGAAAAAGTTTTTCCTAATATCCAACCTAGATCTCCCCACCCTGCAACTTGAGACTATTGCCCATTGTTCTGTCATCTGCCACCACTGAGAACAGCTGAGCTCCAACCTCTCTGGAACTCCCCCCTTTCAGGCAGTTGAGGGCTGCTATCAAATCCCCCCACACTCTTCTCTTCTGCAGACTAAACAAGCCCAGTTCCTTCAGCCTCTCCTCCTTAGTCATGTGCCAGCCCCCTAATCATTTTTGTTGCCCTCCTTTCTCTAATGGGGGGCCTAAAACTGGATGCAATACTCCAGATGTGGCTTCACTAGTGCCGAATAGAGGGGAATAGTAATTTCCCTCGATCTGCTAGCAATGCTCCTACTAATGCAGCCCAATATACTCTTAGCCTTCTTGGGAACAAGGGCACGCTGCTGACTCATATCCAGCTTCTCATCCACTATAATCCCCAGGTCCTTTTCTGAAGAACTGCTGCTTAGCCAGTCGGTCCCCATCCTGTAGCAGTGCATGGGATTCTTCCGTCCTAAGTGCAGGACTCTGCACTTGTCCTTGTTGAACCTCATCAGATTTCTTTTGGCCCAATCCACTAATTTGTCTAGCTCACTCTGGACCCTATGCCTACCCTTCTGCGTATCTGCCTCTCACCCCAGCTTAGCGTCATCTGCGAACTTGTTGAGGGTGCAATCTATCCCATCATCCAATTCATTAATAAATATGTTGAACAAAAGTGGCCCCAGGACTGACTCCTTGGGCACTCCGCTTAATACTGGCTGCCAACTAGACATTGAGCTGTTAATCGCTACGTGTTAAGCCTGACAATCTAGCCAGCTTTCTATCCATCTTATAGTCCATTCATCCAATCTGTACTTTAACTTGCTGACAAGAATACTGTGGGAGACCATATCAGAAGCTTTGCTAAACTCAAGATATATCACATCCACTGCTTTCCCCATATCCCCAGAGCCAGTTATCTCATCATAGTAGGCAATGAGGTTGGTCAGGCATGACTTGCCCTTGGTGAATCCATGTTGACCGTTCCTGATCACCTTCCTCTCCTTCAAGTGCTTCAAAATGGTTTCCTTCAGGACCTGCTTCATGATTTTTCCAGGGACTGAGGTGAGGCTGACCGGTCTGTAGTTCCCTGGGTTCTCCTTCCCTTTTTTAAAGATGGGCATTATATTTGCCTTTTTCCAGTCATCCTGCACCTCCTCTGATCGCCATCAGTTTTCAAAGATAATGGCCAATGGCTCTGCAATCACATCAGCCAATTCCCTCAGCATCCTCAGATGCATTAGATCTGGACCCATGGACTTATGCATGTCCAGCTTTTCTAAATATTCCTTAACCTGTTCTTTTACTGCTGAGGGCTGCTCACCTCCTCCCCATACTGTGTTGCCCAGGACAGCAGTGTGGGAGCTGACTTTGGCCTGTTCTACACTATGAGTTTAATTTGAATTTAGCAGCGTTAAATCGAATTCACCCTGCACCTGTCCACACAACGAAGCCATTTTTTTAAAATAAAGGGCTCTTAAAATCGATTTCTATACTCCTTCCCGACGAGCAGAGTAATGCCGAAATCGATATTGCCATTTTGAATTAGGGTTAGTGTGGACGCAATTCGATGGTATTGACCTCCGGGAGCTATCCCACAGTGCACCATTGTGACCGCTCTGGACAGCAATCTGAATTCGGATGCACTAGCCAGGTAGACGGGAAAAGCCCCGCGAACATTTGAATTTTATTTCCTGTTTGCCCAGCGTGGAGAGCACAGGAGACCACAGAGAGCTCATCAGCACAGATAACCGTGGAGGCCGATAATCGAAAAAGAGCACCAGCATGGACCGTATGGGAAGTACTGGATCTGATGGCTATATGCGGAGAGGACTCAGTGCTAGCAGAACTTCGTTCGAAAAGACGAAATGCCAACACTTTTGAAAAAATCTCCAAGGGCATAATGGAGAGAGGCCACAATAGGGACTCGGATGAGTGCTGCGTGAAAGTAAAGGAGCTCAGAGAAGCCTATCAAAAAACAAAGAAGGCAAACAGTCGCTCCGGGTCAGAGCCGCGGACATGCCGCTTCTACACCAAGCTGCATGCAATTCCTGGAGGGGGTTGCCACCACTACCCCACCTCTGACCGTGGATTCCGAGGTGGGGGTAATCTCATCAGCCACACCTGAGGTTTCTGCGGACGGGGAAGAGGAGGACGAGCTTGTGGAGCGGACACAGCACTCCATTCTCCCCAACAGCCAGGATCTTTTTCTCAGCCTGACTGCAGTACCCTCCTAAGCCAGTATCCAAGACCATGACCCCATGGAAGAGACCTCAGGTGAGTTTACCTTTTAAAATATAAAACATGGTTTAAAAGCAAGCGTTTTTTAATGATTACTTTTCCCTGAGGACTTGGGATGCATTCGCGGCCAGTACAGCTACTGGAAAAGTCTGTTAACGTGTCTGGGGATGGAGCAGAAATCCTCCAGGGACATCTCCATGAAGCTCTCCTGGAGGTACTCCAAAAGCCTTTCCACAAGGTTTCTGGGCAGTGCAGCCTTATTCCGTCCTCCATGGTAGGACACTTGACCACACCATGCTAGTAGCAAGTAATCTGGTGTCATTGCATGACAAAGCCTGGCAGCGTATGGTTCAGGTGTTTGCTGGCATTCAAGCAGCATCCGTTCTTTATCTCGCTGTGTAATCCTCAGGAGAGTGATATCGCTCATGGTAACCTGGTTGAAATACGGGAATTTAATTAAGGGGACAGAGGTGGCCATTCCTACTGGGCTGTTTGCCTGTGGCTGAAAAGAAATCCTTCCCTGCAGTTAGCCAAGCATGGGGGTAGGGGTGGAAAATGGCCCTGAGCTTTTTGCGTTTGGCTAGCAGGGATCTTCCCTGATACCAGCGACTCGGTGGTGGGGAGGGGTAAAGCTATCATCCAGAGAATTGGATGGCGGGGGGGTTAGTTTGTTTTCTGCTACTGAAGGTTAACAGGAAAACCACAGCAGTCAACTGGCTCTGCTTGGTATGTGGGAAAGGAGGGCGCAGAATCTGAAAGACAATGGTTTACCATGGCCGCATGCAAGCTGAATTCTGTTGCCCGGACCTGCGTCTGTGATCTCTAGCAGCAAAGCCACAGGCACTCAATATTAAGAGGCAAAATGCGACCTTGCACAGAAATCTCATGTGCTGTGTAATGTGAATAGTGTTGTACACCATGAAAGAGTATAAGCATTGTTCTGTAAAATGTATCTTTTTAAAAATTCTCTCCTTTTTTCCCCTCCCTCCAGCAGCTGCAAATTTTTCAAGCCTCCCTCCTCCTTCCCGAAGGCTATCTCAGATAAGGTGTTGGAAAAAGAGGACGCAAGACAAGATGTTCGTGGAAATCATAGAAACCACCCGCAGTGAAAGAGCTCATCTGAATGAGTGGAAGGACATGGTTTCAAAGTATAGGAAAGATGCCAGTGAACGTGAGGACATGAGGGACCAACGTGAGGAGAGGAGAGACGCTCGAGATGAGAGGTGGCGGCAGGAAGATCAGAGGAGGCACGTTTTCATCAAGGAGAAACAAACACAAATTTCACACTGTAGCCTGGCCAGTCATGAAACTGGTTTTCAAAGTTTCTCTGATGCGCAGCGCTTCCTGGTGTGCTCTTCTAATCGCCCTGGTGTCTGGCTGCGCGTAATCAGCAGCCAGGCAAATTGCCTCAGCCTCCCACCCCGCCATAAAGGTCTCCCTCTTACTTTCACAGAGATTGTGGAGCACACAGCAAGCAGCAACAACAAGGGAGATATTGGTTTCGCTGAGGTCTGACCAAGTCAGTAACGATCGCCAGCGACCTTTTAAAGGTCCAAATGCATATTCTACCACCATTCTGCACTTGCTCAGCCTGTAGTTAAACAGCTCCTGACTCCTGTCCATGCTGCCTGTGTATGGCTTCATGAGCCATGGCATTAAGGGGTAGGCTGGGTCCCCAAGGATAACGAGAGGCATTTCAACATCCCCAACAGTTATTTTCTGGTCCAGGAAGTAAGTCCCTTGCTGTAGCCGTTTAAACAGAGTAGTATTCCTGAAGACACGAGCATCATGAACCCTTCCCAGCCAGCCGACGTTGATGTTGGTGAAACGTCCCTTGTGATCCACCAGTGCTTGCAGCACCATTGAAAACTACCCCTTGCGGTTTATGTACTGGGTACCCTAGTGCTCTGGTGCCAAGATAGGGATATGGGTTCCATCTATTGCCCCACCACAGTTAGGGAATCCGATTGCAGCAAAGCCATCCACTATGACCTGCACATTTCCCAGAGTCACTACCTTTCATAGCAGCAGCTCAGTGATTGCTTTGGCTACTTGCATCATAGCAGCCCCCACAGTAGATTTGCCCACTCCAAATTGATTCCCGACTGACCGGTAGCTGTCTGGCGTTGCAAGCTTCCACAGGGCTATCGCCACTCGCTTCTCAACTGTGAGGGCTGCTCTCATCCTGGTATTCTGGTGCTTCAGGGCAGGGGACAGCAAGTCAGAATGTTCCATGAAAGTGCCCTTACGCATGCAAAAGTTTCGCAGCCACTGGGAATCGTCCCACACCCGCAACACTATGCGGTCCCACCAGTCTGTGCTTGTTTCCCAGGCCCAGAATCGGCGTTCCATGGATAGAACCTGCCCCATTAACGACATGATCTCCAAAGCACCGGGGCCCAAGGTTTGAGAGAATTCTGTGTCCATGTCCATCTCCTCATCACTCTTGTTGCTGCGCTGCCATTGCCGCCTCCTCCTCACTTCATTTTTCTCGTCTTGGTTCAGCATAAACTGCATGAGAATTCACGAGGTGTTTACAATGTTCATGACTGCTGTCTTGAGCTGAGCGGGCTCCATGCTTGCCATGGTATGGCGTCTGCTGTGTTCACCCAGGAAAAAAGGCACAAAACAGTTGTCTGTCATTGCTTTCATGGAGGGAGGGGTGAAGCTGTACCCAGAACCACCTGCAAAAATGTTTTTTGCCCCATCAGGCACTGGGATCTCAACCCAGAATTCCAATGGGTGGGGGAGATTGCGGGAACTATGGGATAGCTATGGGATAACTACCCACAGTGCAACGCTCCGGAAATCGACGCTAGCCCTGGTACATGGATGCACACAACCGAATTAATGTGCTTAGTGTGGCTGCATTCAGTCGAATTTATACAATCTGTTTCCAAAATTTGAATTCTCTAAATTCGGATTAATCCCATAGTGTAGACATAGCCTTTGTCTGTGAAGACCGAGGCAAAAAAAAGCATTGAGTACGTCAGCTTTTTCCACATCTGTCTCTAGGTTGCCTCCCCCATTCATTAAGGGTCCCACTCTTTCCCTGACCTTTTTCTTGTTACTAATATACCTATGAAACCCTTCTTGTTACCCTTCACATCCGTTGCTAGCTGCAACTCCAGTTGTGTTTTGACCTTCCTGATTACACCCCTGCATGCTCGAGCAATATTTTTATACTCCTCCCTAGTCATCTGACCAAGTTTCCACTTCTTGTAAGCTTCCTTTTTGTGTTTAAGCTCAATGAAGATTTCACTGTTGAAACAAGCTGGTTGCCTGCCATATTTGCTATTCTTTTTGCACATTGGGATGGTTTGTTCCTGTGCCCTTAATAAGTCTTCCTTAAAATACAGCCAGCTTTCCTTGACACCTTTCCCCCTCATCTTAGACTCCCAGGGGATCCTGCCCATCAGTTCCCTAATGGAGTCAGTCTGCTTTTCTGAAGTCCAGGGTCCATATTTTGCTACTCTCCTTTCTTCCTTTTGTGATGATCCTGAACTCAACCATTTCATGGTGACTGCTGCCCAGGTTGGTGTGCCACCCACTTCTACTTCCCCTACCAATACTTCTCTGTTTGTGAGCAGCAGGTCAAGAGGAGAATGGCTCCTGGTTGGTTTCTCCAGCATTTGCACCAGGAACTTATCTCCAACACTCTCCAGAAACTTCCTAGATTGTCTGTGCACTGCTGTATTGCTCTCCCAGCAGATGTCAGGGTGATTGACGTGCCCCACGAGAACCAGGGCCTGTGATCTGGAAACTTCTGTTAGTTGTCCGAAGAAAGCCTTGTGTACCTCATGCTACTGGTCTATAGCACACACCCACCACAACATCACCCACGTTGCTTTCACTTCTAAACTTAACCCAAGGACTCTCAACTCGCTTTTGTCCAGTTTCATACTGGAGCTCTGAGCAATCATACCACTCTCTTACATACAGTGGAACTCCTCCACCTTTCCTCCCCTGCCTGTCCATCCTGAACAGTTTATACCCATCCATGTCAGTGCTCCAGTCATGTGAACTGCCCCATGAAATCTCTGATATTCCAGTAACATCATAGTTCTTTGACTGTGCCAGGACTTCCAATTCTTCCTGCTTGTTTCCAAGGCTTCTTGTGTTCATTTACATGGACCTAAGATAAGGAGCCGATTGCCCTGCTTTCTCAGTATGAATCAGGAAGCCCCCCACTGCATCCTCCTCTTTGTGTTTCCTCCCGGTATCCCACTTTCCCACTTACCTCAGGGCTTAGGTCACCATCCCCTGGCGAACATAGTTTAAAGCCCTCCTCACTAGGTTAGCAAGGCTGCCTGTGAAGATGCTCTTCCCATCTCTTTCTAGCAATCCTTCTTCCCGGAACATGCCATGGTCGAGGAATCCAAAGCCCTCTCTCCAACACCACCTGTGTAACCACACATTTACCTCCACAATTCGACGGTTCCTACCTGGGCCTTTTCCTTCAACAGGGAAGATGGACGAGAACATGACTTTCACCTCAAACTCCTTTATCCTTCTTTCCAGAGTCATGTAGTCTGCAGTGACCTGCTCAGGGTCATTCTTGGCAGTATCATTGGTGCCCACATGGGGAAGTAGGAAGGGCTAGCGGTCCCAGGGCTTGATCAGTCTCAGCAGACACTCGGTCACATCCTGAATTGTAGCTCCAGACAAGCAGCACACTTCTCGAGTCTCTCAGTCGGGTCAGCAGATGGATGACTCTGTCCCCATTAGGAGGGAGTCTCCGACCACCACCACCCGTCTCCTTCTCTTGGGAGTGGTGGTCATGGAACCCCCATCCCTAGGACAATGCATCTCATGCCTTCTGGTCGATGGGGTCTCCTTCTGATCCCTAGATTGCTCTTCAAAATCATATGCCACAGTAGAACCTGTGCAAAGAGCCTGAAAACGGTTTCTTACCTCTATCTGCATTGGGGGTACATGGGTTCTCCTCATTCTTCTTCTGGAGGTCACATGGTGCCAGTTTTCTTCCCTGTTCTACACTGCCCTCTCTGCTTCTTCAGTATGTTGTCCCACCAGAACCAAACACTGACTTCTGTCCAGGAAGTCTTCATTTTCTCTGATGCAACGCAAGGTTCATGCTTGCATCTCTAGTCCTATAACCTTCTAATAAGGAGACCAGTTTGCACTTTTTACAGACAAGGTTGCTTCTATCCTCTGGGAGAAAGACAAACATGGCACATCCTGTGCAGGTCACAACAGCTAATCACTCAGTATCCATGTCTTCCTTCTAAGGATATGTCTACACTACGAAATTAGGTCAAATTTATAGAAGCCGGTTTTATAGAAATTGGTTTTATACAGTTGATTGTGTGTCTCCCCACATAAAATGTTCTAAATGCATTAAGTCGGCGGACCGTGTCCAGAGTACCGAGGCTAGCATAGACTTCCGGAGCGTTGCACTGTGGGTAGCTATCCCTCAGTTCCTACAGTCTCCACCGCCCATTGGAATTCTGGGTTGATATCCCAATGCTTGAAGGATACAGAAACAGTGTCGCGAGGTGTTCTGGGAACATGGCGTCAGACCCCTCCCCCTCTGTCTGCCATTGCTCTGACGATCAATGCATGCCTTTTTACCTAGGTTACTTGTGCAGACAAAGTACCACGGCAAGCATGGAGCCCGCTCACCTCACCGTCACCATTTGTCATCTGGGTGCAAGCAGACGTGGTACTGCATCGCTACACAGCAGCAGCTAATTTCCTTTTGGCAGTAGATGGTGCAGTATGACTTGTAACTGTCATCGGCTATCTGGGTGCTGGCAGACGTGGGGCTGCATTGCTACAAAGCAGCAGCTCCTTGCCTTTTGGCAGTAGATGGTGTATTACAACTGGTATCCATCATCATTGTATTCCGCAGTGAGTTCGATCAGAGGCAACTGGGCAGACATGTTTTGTTTCCTAGAGACTCAGTCCTCCCGGCAGTCCTATTGAACCATCTTGATGTTGATGGCTAGCAGTCGTAATACAGCATCTTCTGCCAAGCACCCAGAAGATGCCGGTAGCCAACAGTCATGCTGCACCGTCTGCTGCCAGCTTAAGATGTAAAAAATATATGGACCAGATTTGTTCTGTATTCATTTGCTTTCCCCTCCCTCCATGAAATCAACGGCCTGCTAAACCCAGGGTTTTGAGTTCAATCTTTGGGGGGGCCATTCTGTGTGACAGTTGTTTGTGTTTCTCCCTGATGCACAGCCACCTTTCTTGATTTT